AGTGTTGAAAAGTCAGACACAGAAACCTGTGCTGTAAGTGCTGAAGTCGAGCTGGGTGAGACCGGGATCCAGGACTAGCTCTGCCAGAGGCCGTCCGCGAAAGCCTCAAAAACAGGGTGATAAAAGCCTCAAGGACGAGGTGACAGTCCGCTGCATTTTGAGAAATAGAGGCGTTCACTGGAAGTGAGCTGGAGGAAGGGGATTCAAGGTGGAGGGGACAGCCTGGGCAGAGGCGAGTCGTGTGCAGGACCCTGGTGCCTCTGAAGAGGAGGAAGCTCCTGCCTTTAGAGTGTGGAGAACACAGAGGAGTGCCAGCGATTTTCCAGAGGGCAGAGGGGAGCCGTCACTCTCATCGTGCAAGCGACATGATCAGAGCTGGTCCATCTCAACCTGCCCTCCTCCCAGTTCCGGTACTTCCTGCTCGGTGGGACTCACCCGGCTGCCCAGAGCTCTCCCGCCATGTCCTGGTGTCCAGGCTAAGAGAAGTGGCCAGGGCCCAGCCGTGATTGGCACCTGTGATCACCAGTGGCACCCAGGCACGCGTTGCCCCTCCGCCCATTTCTAGAGACCTTCTGGGGGCACAATTTTTAGGGAAGTTACAGAACCTCTGTCCTGGTGGGACTGTGTTTGTCTCCTTTTCTATAGTCTCCGCGTTTCTATTAGATGCAGTACAGGCCCCTGGTTCCTTACCCACAATGCCAAATCCAAATCACCCTGAAAAAACACAAGTTGGCTTGGTTTGGTTCCCCCCCAACCCCTGGACTCATTTGGAAACAAAATGACCCGTGCAGATGTGCAGCTATTTATGGAGTTTGTTGCTGCACGGGGTGTGAATATTCATATCCGCAGCAAAATCCTGATGTGTCTGATAACCGGGGGCTGCCCCAGCCCCGCCGGGGGTGTTAGATAATCAGGTGGCATATGAGCCATATTATCTATTCTAAAATAAAATTAGAAACAAAAGCCTGCATTCCAAAGCCAGTCTGGCTCCCGGGCTTCTAGATAAGGAACTGTGGCCCATGTCACTTTTGTAAAGACGATAGCTTTCATCTTACCTTAAAAAGCACAGCCCTGGGGCCGGCACTGTGACGTAATGGGTGAAGATGCTGCTTGTGACGCTAGAAGTCCAAATGGACACTGGTTTGAGTCCCAGCTGCTCCACTTCCCATTCAGCTCCCTGCTAATGCACCTGGGAAAGCAGTGGAAAAAAGTACTTGGGCCCCTGCACCCACATGGGAGACCCAGATGAAGTTCTTTAAAAAAAATCAGAATGTACAATCCTGCTCTGTGTGAAGCCAGGGACTACACATTTTTATAAAGATTGATTATTTATTTGTTTGTTTGAAAGACTGAGAGTGAGAAAGAGTGAGAGAGAGAGTGAATCTTCCATCCATGGGTTCACTCTGCAAATGGCCACAACGGCTGGGGCTGTAATCAGAAGTGTGAACTCGGGCCGGCGCCGCGGCTCACTAGGCTAATCCTCCGCCTAGCGGCGCCGGCACACCGGGTTCTAGTCCCGGTTGGGGCGCCAGATTCTGTCCCGGTTGCCCCTCTTCCAGGCCAGCTCTCTGCTGTGGCCAGGGAGTGCAGTGGAGGATGGCCCAAGTGCTTGGGCCCTGCACCCCATGGGAGACCAGGAAAAGCACCTGGCTCCTGGCTCCTGCCATCGGATCAGCGCGGTGCGCCGGCCGCAGCGCGCAGGCCGCGGCGGCCACTGGAGGGTGAACCAACGGCAAAGGAAGACCTTTCTCTCTGTCTCTCTCTCTCACTGTCCACTCTGCCTGTCAAAATAAATAAAAAAAAAAAAAAAAAGGAAGTGTGAACTCCACCTGGGTCTCCCGTGTGGGTGGCAAGCACTTGACCCATCAGCTGCTTCCTTCCCAGGAGCATTGCAGGAAGCTGGATCAGAAGCAGAGCAGTGAGAACTCCCACCGCTCTCAGATTTGAGATGTGGGTGTCCACAGCACCTGCCTAACCCACTGCAGCACAGCACCGGCCCCTCGCCTTACCTTAAACACCAGCTCTCACTGTGCAAGCCACGGGGCCTCAGGCCCTGCACAGTGGCGCCGGTCAGCCCAGCCGCATTTCCCTGGCCGCTGGGCTCTCCCAGGCTTTGCTGGACCCTTCAGATGGCCACTGTGGCCTGAGCTCCCTGACCCCCTTCCCACCCCCCCTACCCTGTCCCAGCACATGACTCCACCTCCTGCTTCATGGGGACACAGAAGCCACAAGCGGAAGCTCCTGAGAGTCAGGCTCCAGACAGAATCCAGACGTGCAGACATGCCCCATCCTGTCCCCGCCCCCACTTCTCTCAAATGAGCAACCCCAGGGTCTCTCGTGGAAGACAACCCCCCACCACCACTGCCGACCGCCACCGTGTCCTTGTCCTCCATCCATGTTTGCATGCGGCCCTGTCACCCCACTAAAAGCAAGACAACACGGCCAGAGCAGCCCTTCCTGGGTCTCACAGCTGCCTCCTGACCACGCCCAGTTCCCTCCCAGCACGAGGCTGGCATCTCCCAGCACTGGCCCGCACGGCCCCCGCCCTGTTCCTCTTGCTCGCATCCTCTCCTCACCCCCTCTGACCGTGGCCCCTCCGCTGAGCCCGCCGGAGACCTCCTGGCTGCTGTCTCCCTCCCTCCTGTACTGTCTGTGGCTCTTGCCTGGGCAGCCCTGCCTCTCCCGCCGCGCAGCCCACTCGGGGCTGCCTCCTGCCCCCTGTTGCGGCCTTCCTTCCTCCCTTGCGGAAGACTCTTCCTCTTCCCTTCGGACCTGGGCCCGAGGCTCTGCTTCTCCCTGCTCTACATCCGCAGTCAGCTCTCTTCCCGCCAGCACTCCCGCTGCTGGCCAGTTACACCCGTAGCCCAGCCCACTGCAGACTCAGCATCACCTCCAAATGTCCTGAAGACCCATTCAGCTCACCCTGCAGGAACTAACTAAAATAGTTATTTATTTGAAAGTGTTAGAGAGAGAGGAAGAGAGACAGAGACACAGAATCTTCCATCTGCTGGTTCATTCCTCAAATGGCCACAACAGCCAGGGCTGGGCCAGGACCAAGCCAGGAGCCAGGAGCTTCATCTGGGTCTCCCACATGGGTGGCAGGGGTCCAAGTACTTGTGCCGTCTTCTGCTGCTTTCTCAGATGCATTAGTGGGAGTGGAGCAGCTAGGAGCTGCAAGCCGCCGTGGCTTAAGCCATTATGCCACAATGCTGGTCCCAAGAACTAATGTCTTGATCTTTCTCTTTCATGTCCACATACCCATTCCTCTGCCACTACTCCCATCAAAACCTGCCCAGGTGTGCAGGCCAGAAATGTGGCCATTGCCTTGGCCCCTCCCTCCCCAGCATCCCTCTCTTCCAGCCCATTCCCAAGACCTTCTTGTTCTTTTTTTTTTTTTTTTTTAAGATTTATTTATTTGAATATCAGAGATACAGAGGGAGAAGGAGAGAGGAGATATCTTCTGTCTGCTGGTTCATGCTCCAAATTGCCACAGTGGCCGGGGCTGGACCAGGCCGAAGCCAGAAGGAGCTTCTTCCAGGTGTCCCACATGGGTGCTGGGACCCAAGCATTGGGGCTGTCTTCTACTGCTTTCCCAGGCCATAGCAGAGAGCTGGAGCAGCCGGGACTCAAACCGGTGCCCATATGGGATCCTGGTGCTGCAGGCAGAGGCTTAACCTATACCACAGTGCCAGTCCTTACCTTCTTGGTTTTTCTTGCTAAAGCCTCTCCCTCAGTACTGCTGGAGCCTAGGCAAAACCAAAACCACCATTGTCTCCCCCCGGACCCCTCCCTCTGCGCTCCTGCAGCATCTCTGCTTTAGGAAATGCACGTCTGAATGTGTCCCTCCTTCAGACCCCTCGCTGGTTTCCCGGATTAAGTGGTCTTTTTGGGAGTGGAGACAAGGATCCATGCAAGCCCTCCCTCCGCCTCCCCTGCCTCCTCTGTGCCACCCCACCCATCCTCACTGCTGCAGCGACCCCGGCCCCTGCCTCTTCCCTCCCTGGTGGCCCGGCTTCCATCACCTGCCAGGTGCCAGCTCCAGGATCCTTCCTCTCCGAGCCCCGGACAGGCTCTCCACAATGGGCACTGCGTGCTTGGCCGTCACAGCCCTCGTCACAACTTAGTGTCTATTTGTGGGATCATTTAAGCAGCGTCCATCTCTCCAGCTAGACCGGAACTTCCGGAGCGCCGGCACCTGCTGCCTCTGCTGCCCTCGAGGAACAAGCAGGGAAAAGGAAGTGGATGCAAAAGGGCTCTGGGAGCTAATGCATGCGCTACAGGTGCTGGGGCCCCAGCTGTCCTCAGGTCTGAGGGCAGTGGGGGCCTGGCCGGCAGCCGCCTCTCTCTGGCAGTGTCTGGGTTCTGTGCTTGGAGCAGAGTCGGAGGGGCGGGTCTGTGACCTGGAGCATGTGGACGTGTGAGAATGAATCTTGGGCCCCCCCCTTTTTTTTGTGCCAGGAAAAGAGAGATGAGACCGGAAGAAGGGAGAAGGGTGTGTGTGTATTACCCCACAATCTGGGGCAGGGAGGTGTCAGTGTGTCTGGGCTCTGAGCTGTCATGCACTGTTGTTTGGGCTGCTCACTGTGCAACTCCGGGAGGCACCATTCATGACACAGTCTAGGAGAAAGGCTCTCCCGAGAGCTGTGCACTGCTCAGCCACAGGTGATGGCCTTGACCATGGTCCTTGGGCGGCAAGTTCACAGTCAGTGATGACGGCAGTTGAGATGCGTGGAGATCTCACCGCGTATGCACTTGGCGTGTATCCTCCTCCTCCCTGGGCCTCACCTTGAGGCGTCTGCAGCTGGCACTCCTGTCCCCTGTGTCTCTCGCAGGGGGAAGCTGAGGACTTAGGTGAAAGCCAGGGTCACACGGCCGGAGCTCGGCGCTCTGCCACACTGCCTCTGAACCCTGCTGAGGCTGAGGAAGGGGGTGCGGCGGGACCCCCACCCCAGCGGGATAGGGCCATCACCTCTGTGTCTCTTCCCTCCCCCTCCCCCCAGCTGGACAAGATGCTGGACCCGCAGGTGTGGCGGGAGGCGGCCACACAGGTCTTCTTCGCCCTGGGGCTGGGCTTCGGCGGCGTCATTGCCTTCTCCAGCTACAACAAGCAGGACAACAACTGCCACTTCGACGCCGCCCTGGTGTCCTTCATCAACTTCTTCACCTCGGTGCTGGCCACCCTCGTGGTGTTCGCTGTGCTGGGCTTCAAGGCCAACATCATGAACGAGAAGTGTGTGGTCGAGTAGGTGCCCCCACACCCCACGCTCAGGTGGGCGGTGCATGGAGGGAGGAGCCCCCCCGGGGGGGTGGGGCTGACAGGTGGACGTCTCCATCTCCATCTCCAGCCCTGGACCACAAGTTCAGAGATGGCTCTGTGCCTGGCCCGTGGGGGTCCCGCCTGGGTGTCTGGGGGTACCTCTGGTGGCTCACCTCCCTCCCCCCACCCTGCCCCACACTGTCTCACCTGGCTCTGTCCCGCTTCACGCTGCAGGAATGCCGAGAAGATCCTGGGGTACCTCAACTCCAACGTCTTGAGCCGGGACCTCATCCCGCCCCACGTCAACTTCTCGCACCTGACCACCAAGGACTACGCGGAGATGTACAACGTCATCAAGACCGTGAAGGAGGGCCAGTTCTCAGCCCTGGGCCTGGACCCCTGCCTCCTGGAGGACGAGCTGGACAAGGTGAGGGCACAAACCGCCCTTCCCAGGACAGGCCACGCTGACTCACAGGGAGTCCCGCGGGACTACTGTGTGTCCCGAGGGCGGGTGGGAGGAAGGCGAGGTGCCGGCCAAAGCCCAAGCCCGAGGTACGCGTGGGTCTCATGAGGAGTGACAGTTTGCATGCAGTGACCACCCTTTTCACTGAACTGGCTTCCTGTGCACCTGTCACTCACTGCCATGGTCACTATGCGCAAAGTGTCTGCCCTTTGACCCTCCTGACAACTGGCTCTGTCATTTCAGTTCTTTCTGTCTGACACATGAGTGGCCTAGAAGTGGAGGGGTTCGATCACAGTCTCCAGTGGAGGGGCCGGAGCTCGAGGCCAGGCAGTCTGGTCCCCTTCATACTTCTGCCCCTCCCCAAGCCGTACCCACTGCCCCAGTGACCTTGAGCCCCTGAGTTGGGGCCAGAAGAAGCTGCCTTGTCTTTCACACTAGGCCCAGTTGTGGCCACTTGCTATTTGTATTGCACCCGGAAGGTTCTGGAGACCTGGCTGGAGCCAGGGCCCACAGGGGGCGGAGCCAGCTCACATCAGACTGGGCCAGCCCCACCCTTCTCCATGGTTCCGGGGAAATCTGCTGTCCCTGAGCCGAAGCTTGAGTGCTGTGACAAGTTAGCTCCACCGACCCAGCACCGGCCTTGTGCTGGGGGGCTGCACCCTGAGCCCCTGATGTCTTCCCAGGGGATTGAGAGCAGAAGAGCCCATCCCAGGGTCCCCTTGCTTTGCATCAAGGCCTCGGGAATTCCACACTCACCCGGCCGGGACACCGTCCCCCAAGGTCACTGGCTTCATGGGACGGCAGGGAGGGCCGTGGTGGCCCAAGTGTTGAAGCCGTGGCCGTCCACCTTGGCTGTGCTTTATTCAACCTCAACACCCACAACCACCAAATCAACTTTCTAGGGATGAGACCCAGGCATCACTTTTGTGTTTGGAATGTGATGGATTTAGTTGAGAGCTGGAGAGAAAGAGAGAGCAATCACACACTCCCTATTGCTGGCTCACTCCCAGGGGCCCCAGGGGCTGCTGGAACTCGGGAGCCAGGAGCTCCATCCAGATCTCCCACAGGGGTGGTAGAGACCCAGTTATTGGAGCCATCACTGCAGTACTGTCTGGAGTTCAGAAGCTCAGAGCTGGGAGTGAGCGCAGTGTGGCTGGAGCAATCAGGGAAGACATCCTGGAGAAGGAAGATTTTGAGCTGAGCAGGTTTCTGAGTCATCCCAGGGTCTTTGTGCAACCTGTAGATTCCAGATACCCCAGGAAGACTCTTAAGATGTATTTATTTACTTAAAAGGTGGGGCTACAGAGAGAGGGAAAGACAGAGCTCTTCCATCTGCTGGTTCACTCCCCCCAAATGGCCACAAGAACCCAGGGCTGGACCAGGCAGAAGTCAGGCGCCCAGAACTCCATCTGGGTCTCCCACATGGGTAGCAGGGGCCCAAGCACTTGGGCCGTCCTCTGCTGCTTTCCCAGGAGCATTAGCAGGGAGCTGGATGGGAAGCAAAGCAGCCGGGACTCGAACTGGTGCCCACATGGGATGCTGCTCACCCTGCTTTGCTACGCCGGCCCCTCTGGGAGACTCCTAAGTTGGGCGCAGGCTCTGCCCAGGGCATTCTGCTGCCCGCCGGAGTTTGAGACCCGCTGGCCAAAACCAGTGGGATTCAGGCGGAGGTGGGGCTCCCTCTGGGAGAGGGAGTGTTGACTTCTGAAGCTCTGAGGGCGAGGGAAGGGGCAAGGGTCCTGGGGAGGGGCTGCCCTCACTCTGCCCCACCCTCAGTCCGTGCAGGGCACAGGCCTGGCTTTCATCGCCTTCACCGAGGCCATGACGCACTTCCCCGCCTCCCCGTTCTGGTCAGTCATGTTCTTCCTGATGCTCATCAACCTGGGCCTGGGCAGCATGATCGGGACCATGGCGGGCATCACCACGCCCATCATCGACACCTTCAAGGTGCCCAAGGAGATGTTCACAGGTAACCCCTCCCTGCAGGCTGCCCCCTTGGGCAACGGCCAGGCTGTGGCTCTCCCTGTAGAAAGACTGGGTTCTGACCGGGCCATGCCCCAGAACTGGCTGGGCCCCCTTGGCACGAGCCCTGCAGAGCCAGGGGGAGGAAGCCGCTTGGAAATCTGAGCCAAATCGGAGCCAGGAGACAGGGCTTGGTCCAGGGTTCACTCGCCCTCTCTCCAAGGGCACGGTGCCCTGTCTTAGCACCAGCCTTGTACCTCTATCACTCCCAGGCCTAGGCAGCCCCACATGGGCTGATCTGGGCTCCAGGTGGGGCTGCCCCTCACCTGTGTCGGGGACTGGTTTCTCCAGGTGGAGAAAAAGACTGGAAACCATCAGATGAATCATTTAAATGAAATGGAGCATGAAGTGGAGCACCTGCTATGGGCCAGGCCCTGTGCTCGGGGCAGGGGGGCATGGGAGAAGACAGGAGAGACAAAGCCTTCTTTAGGGTGCTGTCTGCCCAGCTGATTGGGAATCCCTGTGCAGGGCTCGGCTGCTGGAGGGTGGGCTGCAGGCCTGCTGTGGGAGGGCTGTCCTGGGGCCCTGCCCACCCCGCACCTTTGCCCCTACACCGGCCTCCCCGGCTCTCTGTAGTGGGCTGCTGTGTCTTTGCATTCTTCGTGGGGCTGTTGTTCGTCCAGCGCTCCGGAAACTACTTCGTCACCATGTTTGACGACTACTCGGCCACCCTGCCGCTCACTGTCATCGTCATCCTTGAGAACATCGCTGTGGCCTGGATCTACGGCACCAAGAAGTAAGGGGCGCAGGGAGCGAGGAGGAGGGACCGGTGGAGGGGTCGTCCCGTGAGGACTCCCTGGTGGGCCCTGTGTCCACAGGGCTGCCTGTGAAGGGGACGGGCAGCCATAGAATCAGAGAGGCCGAGCCCAAAGTGCCCTTCTAGATCACTTCGGGAAGCTGAGGTTTGGAGAGCGGACGCGACTGGCCAAGGCCAAGGAGAGGCAGCGAGAGGGCCTGGGAATCCTGGGTTCTGGCTCTGGCATCATCTCAAATCGCTGTAGATAACCGGGCGCCTGCCCCAGGTGCCAGCTCCCTGCAGAATTCTGTAGCGCTCGCTGAGCACTTGGCAGCTGCGCAAGAAGATCCTGCCCTCAAAGATCTCATAGACGTCGGCAGCACAATTCACAAGTTTTTTAAAAAGATTTTTAAATTTATTTTATTTGAGAGGCAGAGTTACAGAGAGGCAGAGAGAGAGAAAGGTCTTCCATCCACTGGTTCACTCCCCAAATGACCACAATGGCTGGAGCTGAGCCAATCCAAAGCCAGGAACCAGGAGCTTCTTCTGGGTCTTATGTGGATGCAGGAACCCAAGGACTTGGGCCATCTTCCAGTGCTTTCCCAGGCCACAGCAGAGAGCTTGATCGAAAGTGGAGCAACCGGGACTTGAACCAGAGCCCATAAGGGATCCCAGCACTGCAGGCGGAGGCTTGGCCCACTATGCCACAGAGCCAACCCCAGAGATTCACAATTTTTAAAAGATTTATTTATTTATTTATTTATTTGAAAGTCAGAGTTACACAGAGAGAGGAGAGGCAGAGAGAGAGAGAGAGAGAGAGAGAGAGAGAGAGGTCTTCCATCCACTGGTCATTCCCCAATTGGCTGCAATGGCTGGAGCTGTGCCTGTCCGAAGCCAGGAGCCAACAGCTTCCTCCAGGTCTCCCATGTAGGTGCAGGGGCCCAAGGACTTGAGCCATCTTCTACTGTTTTCCCAGGCCATAGCAGAGAGCTGGGTCAGAAGTGGAAGTGGAGTAGGTGGGACTCGAATTGGTGCCCATATGGGATGCTGACACTGTAGGCAGCGGCTTTACCCACTCTGCCACAGCGCTGGCCCCCACAATTTTTAAAAAGCATTTGTTGATTTAAAAGAGAGAGAGAGAGAATCTTCTACCTGCTGGTTCACTCGCCAAATAGCCACACCAGCCAGGGCTGGGCCAGGCTAAAGCCAGGAGCCAGGAACCCCATCCAGGTGTCCCTCCCACATGGGTGCAGGGGCCCAAGGACTTGGGCCACCCTCTGCTGCCTTCCCAGGGGCATTAGCCGGGACCTGGGTTGGAAGCAGAGCAGCCAGGACTCAGGAATCCAATGTAGGATGCTGGCGTCTCAAGCAGCACCTGCCCCTGGAGTCACAATTTGTAGGCGTGGCCTCTGTCCCAGGTTTGGGGCCATGGAGGCTAGGAGGGTTCAGCCCTAAGAAGGGGTCGCTCTCACGGCCTGAGCGTGGGGCAGACCTCCACTCGCCATCAGCTCCTTGCCTCATTCAAGGACAAATCTGTGCCTCTGGAAGCTGAAGGCCCAGGCCCCTCCAACTCACCAATTCACTCAGTCTGGGCCGTCCTTGGCCTCTTGGGGGCTCACTGGCCCAGTGACTCTCCAGGATGTCTGAACCTGGTGTTGGAATCAGGGCTGGCCATGGGAGCTCCCTGCTTCCCAGGAGGGAGCAGGCAGGACAGGGAGTGCTAAGAAAACCATCTGTCCCCTGAGTGCACCCTGGGAGCCGGGGTGGGGGGCAGCACCTTGCTGGGATGGGCTCTGGCTCCCTGAAAGACACCTTCAGCCACCTGCTGCAGCCCTGGTGCCTGTGCTCAGAACACCAGGGTGAACGCATGAGGCACAGTATGCAGGAGCACACGGAGAATTGCACCTGCCCTCTCCATCCACAGGCTCCTCACCCATGGATCCAACCAACCACGGGTCCTCTGGTCCAAATCGTAACGCTGCATCTGTTCTGAGTGTGCATGGACTGTTTGGTTGGTTGCTACTCCTGCGACAGCGCAGCAGAACAAACGATTCAGAGCCTTGGCCTTGTGCCAGGTGCCACAGACAACCTAGAGACGGTTTAAACTAAGTGTCTGGGAGGACGTGTGGGGGTCTGTACAGGGGCTCAGCACCCTCAGATTCTCATGTCCCCTGGGGGTTCTAGAAGCAACTCCCATGGATACCAATCACAGTGAAGCGAGTAGCAAAATGCCATTCAAAAACCCAGATATGGTACTTTATTTTTACTGGCTAAAGCGACAATTTGTAGGTGTGGGTCTAATAACAATGGGGATTTTGAAACAGTGATGTGCATACATGATGTCTCTAGGTGTTCAACAATTGTCCTGTGATTTGATGTATTGGTGACAAAGTTGCAGGTGCAGTTACTACTACTGTGGTTGTCTGTACATAGTTTGGAGAGCAATGCTAGATTTCAGTTAGCTGTAATTGAGGTAAAGATGATTATTATTGTTATTATCATTATTTTTTGCTCTTCAAGTGCACACAGCCTGCATGCCCCCAGGACTTTTCCCTCCCACCCCATGGTTAGAAACCGCTGCAGACTTGGAAGGTGCAATTTTACCCCTTCTCCAGCAGGGGGAGTCTCGCACCAGGTCGCTGTGAGGGAGCCTGAGGACCTGGTGGGTCTGACCTGTGGTTATCACATCTCTGGGTAGAGCGGGTGTGATGTAGTCACAGAAGGCCAGGGAGGATAGCAGAGCCTTCCGGGGCCAGCCAGGCTCTACAACTCGACTGCGAGGAACAGACGAGGCTGGGGTGGGAGGGACTAGCCACTGAAGGCTTTCAGCGGGAGGAGGCTGTAGGGGAAGAGTGAGGTGCATGGTGGAGATGCTGACTGTGGGTCCCTCTGCTGTGCCCGGCAGGTTCATGCAGGAGCTGACGGAGATGCTGGGCTTCCGGCCCTACCGCTTCTATTACTACATGTGGAAGTTTGTGTCTCCACTGTGCATGGCTGTGCTCACCACAGCCAGCATCATCCAGCTGGGCGTCACACCCCCTGGCTACAGTGCCTGGATCAGGGAGGAGGTGAGGACCAGGGCCCTCGTCTTCCCAGGCTTCTCCGCGACGGGGGCAGGGACAGGGCAGCTGCCACATGGCAGGTCCTGCCAGAGGTTTTGCACACCGAATCTGTGATCTTTTACCAACTCACAGAGAGATGGCATTATTCCTGTAGCTCCAGTGGGGGAACTGAGGCTCAGAAAGATTAACACAGGGAGGGAGGGAGAGAGAGAGAAAAAGGAATTGCCTGCCCATCTTACAGGTGTAGAGACCAAAGTGACCAGCTAAACTCAAGTGGTCCCCTTCGATGACTGCCGTCTGCTGGCGCCAGGCCAGGATGGCGAGAGGGGAGGGGAGTGGATGGGTGTGGGTGAGGGCAGGGAGGGGCTGCCACGGAGGGGCTGGGAAGGTGGAGGCCGGCCCAGCACCGAGGGCAGGGCAGCCCTCACCACCGCCCCCCGCAACCCCAGGCTGCCGAGCGCTACCTGTATTTCCCCAACTGGGCCATGGCGCTGCTGATCACCCTGATCGTCGTGGCGACACTGCCCATCCCGGTGGCGTTCGTGCTGCGGCACTTCCACCTGCTGTCCGACGGCTCCAACACCCTCTCGGTGTCCTACAAGAAGGGCCGCATGATGAAGGACATCTCCAACCTGGAGGAGAACGACGAGACTCGCTTCATCCTCAGCAAGGTGCCCAGCGAGGCGCCCTCCCCCATGCCCACCCACCGCTCCTATCTGGGGCCTGGCAGCGCGTCGCCCCTGGAGACCAGCGGCAACCCCAACGGACGCTACGGGAGCGGCTACCTCCTGGCTGGCACCCCTGAGTCAGAGCTGTGACCACTGCCCCATCCTGCCCCCACTGCCTCTCCCCTCGTGCCCAACCTGCCCCCCTGTGTGGGCCTGGTCTCTTCCTCCAATGTGGGCACCAGGCCCACTGCCCAAGGAAAGGGGGGCTGTCCTGCCCATTGCCCACCCCAGCCCTGGCAGACCCTGCTCTCTAATCCTGAGCAGGCGCAGGGAGCAGCTCCGTTCCTTATCCAGGCCCCTGACCCATCTGCCCCGCTGAGGGCCTCTCACCAAATTGTAGCCATGCAAGGTGGGCAGTCCAGCAGTCCTGGCTCCCAGTGGAGGTGGGGGCGGGGCTCCAAGTGGCCCCTGAGGAGCCACGCCACCCTCTCCCTCTCCCTCTCCCTGCACCTGCCACTTGTGGTTCTCAGATCTGGAGGGGACCCCTGAGCTGCCATTGTGATGGGGGGTGGGGTGCAGAGAGGTGTCCGCTGGCCCGGGATGAGCACAGGGACCATCACCCTGCCCATACCTGGCTGGATTACTCCTGGGCCGAGAGGCTGCTTAACTGGCCGGGGGTGGGGATGGGCGTGCCAGGGGGTGGGGCTCAGGCTGGAGAGTCAGAGTGCAGAAGCCAGGTTCTGTCCTTGCCCACCTCTGTGGGGGCTTGGCTTCCTCCCCGTCCCTGCCCCCAGCCTGGAGCCCAAGAGAGGAGAGGTTTCCAAAGCACAGAGTGATGGTTCCGAGCACAGCACAGATGTTTTGCAGCACAACTGTGAAGCACACGCCCCCTGCCCTCACCAGGCCCCATTTTCTCTCTAGTGGCAGCTTCCCCTGGAACAGGGAGTCCTGGAGTTTTCAGGGGCTCATCCCAGGAAGCCTCACTCCTGGGGAAAGACAGATTTTGGGGTCCCATCCTTTCTTCTTGTTGCACAAGCACAGACCCCCGGTGTGCACCTGACGCACGAGCACGTTGGGAATGTTTCCCAAGCCTCCCTGGCCTGCGCTGGGCAGTGCTGTGTGCTCAGGAGGCTGCCCAGGCCAAAGGTTCAGTTTCTGCCCCGAGGCCTGGCACCTGCAGGGGACTACACTTAGCAGCATCTTCACTCACTCATACTTTCAGGGCCTCCCCTGGGGCAGGGGCTGCCCTTGGAGAGCGTCTGGGAAGATTCAGAACCTGACTTGAGAGGAAGCATCTGTGGAGAGATAGATGGATGGATGGACAGGCGGATGGGTGGGCTGATGGATGGATGGACAGATGGATGGGTGGGTTGATGGATGGATGGACAGGTGGGTGGATGGATGGATGGATAGACGGATGGGTGGGCAGATGGATGGATGGACAGATGGATGGGTGGGTTGATGGATGGATGGACAGATGGATGGGTGGGTTGATGGATGGGTGGGCTGATGGATGGATGGACAGGTGGGTGGATGGATAGACGGATGGGTGGGCAGATGGATGGATGGATGGACAGATGGACAGGTGGGTGGATGAATGGGTAGATGGATGGATGGGTAGGTAGGTAGATGGATAGATCGATGGATGGATGGATGGGGGAAGGAAGACAGGAAGGAAAGAAGTTAAAAAGGGAAGAAGGAAGGAGAGGAGAGGGGAGACAGGCCAGCTCCACCTTTGAGAGCTCTGGTGGGCAGGGCCAGCACAGGCCAGTGCCAGGCCGGGGCTCCTCACTAAGGGCACAGCTGTGGCTCTGACTTCTGTCAGCACCAGGAGGGAGAGACGAGGCCCAGCCCAGAGTCCCTTGCCCCACTCGCCTAGCCCGGGAGGGTTTGTGCCCCCCCATCACCCTGCTCCTCCTTCCCCCATACCTTCCTTCCCCCCTCCAGCCCTCTCAGCCTCACCTGTCCATCCTGAGTATTGGGGAAGGGGAAAAGGGTCACCACACTGCCTTGGAGCGCTGTCTCCTGCTGTGGGCCCCTCCCTCACCTGCCAACACCTCCCACCGGGCCCCACGCCTAATCCCGGCAGAATTAGCAACAGGAAAAGCAAGGCAGCGGGAGAGACTCTGCTATGTATACTCTTCGCTATATTCTATTTCTATTGTATATTCAATCTGTACATGTGGGTGTAAATGCTGTTAAATGACAAACCCAATATTATACTGTGGCTGGTGAACTATTTTCATCCTCAGTGCTGTACAGATCTATTTTCATTGTATATTTGATATATTTTTAATTTTGTAGCGTGTGCTGGGCCGGGCCTCAGCCGCCAGCCTGCAGGAGAGGCTGGGCGGGGGCCACCTGCTTGCTCACTGTGGGCTCTGTTGCACTTGTTGAGGCCTTCGCCGTGGGCCGGGCCCTGTCCTGGCTGCATCTTTGCCATGTGTTAGACGTAGGGCCCAGAGCTTGGGGTGCGTGCGTGCGTGTGTGTGTGCGCGTATGGTGTGTGCACATGTGGGTGTGGCTACGTGTAGGGTGCTGATTTGTGACTCCCTGTGTTCACCACCTTCCTGCCCTTCTTCCTCCTCTCAGCCAGGTAGGGTGAGACCTCAGCGTGGGGTCCCCCGGGGGAGCTCCTGCTATGGGGAGAGGCATGAACTCTGTGCTGGTGACTCAGTGTCTCCCAGTCCCCTTCCACCTCGCTGGAGGTGCCAGAAACCAGAAGGAGGGCCTTGGCAGGCAGTGGCCAAATGCCTTTGGCTGTTCCCAGTGGACTCACAGGCTGCCCTTGGGGAGGAAAGGGTCGGTCTTGACCCTTCAGTGGACAGCTCTACTCGTTCTTCAGGGGAGCCCAGGGCAGATGGGGGCACCCAACTTGCTGCGATCCTGGAGGGGCAGGAGGTGGCTGGGGAGGGCCAGGCTCCTGTGTCCCTGTCCCAGTCCCCTCTAGCCCCACTGGCTTTGGTGCTGTCCGTGCAGTGCAAACCAGGAGGCAGAGGGGATGCCATGGTCGTGTGTCACCCCACATGGGCAGGGCAGGGACAGGGCCAGGACTAAAAGGGTGCCCCGACCCTTGACCCCTGGCCCTGCCTGCCTTCCAGCCCCAGTCACCAGCTTCTGGCCCAGGGAGCCAGAGGTAAGGGGAGTAGACAGGTGGGGCACACTAGATAACGCCAGGGAGGGTGGCTTCTACCCTCCAGCAATAAATCTGCACGGACTGCTGCTTTCCCAGTGCCAGGGGCGCCCCTTGAGTCAGCCTGCATAGGCCACAGGCTGGGGGTCCTGGGCCCTGTGCGGGCCTGCAGTATCCCCAGGCAGGGGGCTGCTCTCTGCCCTTGCTCCCAGCTGCACACGCCCTGCCCGAGGACTCCCCACTGTGGAAAAGAGAAGCAAGACTGAACAGGTTGGACTGCACCTGCCCCGCGTGCAGCATTGAAACACAGGGGTCAGGTGTCCCTTTACTGGGGCCTGATGCCTGGTACTGGGGGCAGAGGGCCCGGGCTCCCTTCTCATCACAAGTTCTGCTTTGTATAGACCCAAGCACACTTGCCAGGCCATCACTCTGGGTTCAGAACAGATCAAGTCCATGGCTGATCAGAGTCCTGGGTCAGAACCACTCAGCCCAGGGGAGAGGACGAGGCACTGTCACCCCCCAGGGCCCCTCTTTCCTCTCTCCCTCACCATGGTGTACAATAAAGTGTCTGTTCTTACCAACCACTCAAGCTTGCCTTTCTTACCTGCTCCTGGGGCCTAAGACAGAGGGACTGGGGGAAGCTGAGGGAAGCTGTGGGGCAAAGCCTAAGCAGGCAGAGGTCTGGCAGTGCAGGGCTGGGGCGGGAGGCACACGGGGGCATGGGAGCCCGTTGGCCATTGCAGCAGGCCTGAGCCCACATGTCAGATCGACCACTACCTTTGCAGTGTCCTTTGTGCAATGGATTTTTCTAGGTGAGGAGAGTGAGGCTCTGCCCACTGTGAGGATGGCTACCCCTGTCAGTAGAGCACAGGAGGGGGTGCATGGAGGCACATCTGGGGAGAGGCAGGGCTGGGAGGGTGCTGATTCCAGGGGTCTGGCCCTGGGGGGGAGTCCCCCCCCCCCAGTCTATAATGGTGCTGCCCCATCGAAGACACATACAGCCCACCTCCCCAAAGGAACCTCCATCTTCTGCCATGGAGAGGAAAGTGTTGTTCCAGGAACAGCCAGCAGATGGCGAGAAAACCTCTCTCCAAATTTTAACCCAGTCACGCTCCAATCCACCACCTGTCTTACTCCTTCCTGGTTAATTTGTTGAACAAACATTTATTTAAGACCCCTCCACAGAAGGCTCCATGCCAGCCATGTTGGTGCCGCCTCCTGAGTTTTGCGTGACTCCAGATCTCCCCACAAACTCCCTGTGCATTTCCCAGAGAGTTTCCTGCTGTGCGAAAAATCCCTCTTCCAGGTCAGTGAGTCCTTTGGCTGCAGATAGTGTTTCTGGTTGAAATGCCAACCCTCCTGCCAGGAGGGGCACACAGACCCAAGAAGACACAGGACAGGAGTCTTGTCAATCCACCCCAGATCTGCTCCAAGGCCCACACGGACGCCTGAAACCATGGAGATTACCAAAGGCCGTGTGGACTGTGTTGAACTTTAATACTGTGATGAACTTTAATGTCTCAGTTAGGCACAGTAAGAGATAACAACAACAGCTAAAAATAAAACAGGATAGTTACAGCAACAGAATGTAATAAAAATCATTTTCCTCACGATGTTTATCATGATAAAAACAGTTTTATCACGTCTGATGTTTCTGGGGTCAAGGAGTTGGCGCAGGACTTCTCTGAACAACTCCTCAGTGCAATGAGGGTCACGAGCTGGAGGGCCCAGGGCAGCCCCTCTCACACTCCTCAGGGAGGAAGACTACAAGCTTGGCTTCTGCAGGCACTGCCAGCCAGCGTGAGCGTCTACAACCGGCCTCTCCACAGGACTCATCGCCAGTGGCCAGACTTCTTACCTGATGGCTCAGGGGGCCCAGAGACTGGTGGAGGTAGAAGCTGCCGGAGTCTTAAGGCCTAGGCCTGGGAAATGGCACAGCCTCATTGCCATCATAACCTAATGGTCACAGCAGCCTCGGCCCAAATTAAGGGGAGGGTAAACAGTTGCCACTTGTTGATGGGTGGGGGCCAAGATTTGTGGCTGCCTGTATGATGGGCCCATCCTGGGGGTCATCTATCACTGGCATCTAGATGAAAGCCAGGTCCTAGTGGGACATCATCTTAGAGACCCAGAACGGGCCCACACACACAACAGGTGAGTTCTGATAGGGTGATGAGTGGCTACACTTGCGCCCTGGCACGTGCTGTGGTGCAGCAGGTAAAGCCATTGTTTGCAGTGCCCACATGCACTATCGGAGTGCTGGTTCAAGTCCTGTCACCTCTGCGTCTGATTCAGCTTCCTGCTGGTGCATCATGGGAGGCAGCAAATGATGGCCCAAGTGCTTGAGCCCTGGCACCCACATGGAAGACCTGGATGCAGTTCCGGGCTTCTGGCTTGGGCCTGGCCCAGCACTGGTTATTGTAGGCATTTGGAGAGGGAACTAGCAGACGAAAGATACCTCCCTCCCCCCTCTCTGTCATTTTGCCTTTTGAGTAGATGAAAATAAATAAACATTTAAAAGAAAACCAAACTTGGGCCCTGGCCCTGGGTGGACGGAGCAGGCAGGGAGGAAGATGAGAGAGCTGACAGCTGCTTCTGCTCCGTATCAGCCCTGGGGCAGGTGGCATGAAGTGGTTGGAATCATGAGTCTGTCACCAACCTTGGGAAACCATCTAACTCTCTGAACCTCTGTGTTCCCACCTGTGGAAGGAGGATGGCAGTGAAATCTCTTCCTGAGGAGATGTTGTAGAGGAGAAAAAATGAACTTCCTCTGTAGTGCCTACTGGAATGCGATACAGAACTCTGAAGATGGGATCACAACAGGTGCTCATTAAACAGTAACTTCCTTTCTCTTGCCTGGAGATGAGGGGATGCGTCAGCTTTTTGTTACTACAACAAAATACCCAAGTCAAGGTGTTTGTGAGGGAAAGGGATTTATCCAGGTTCTGGTGGTTCACAGGCCAAGATCAAGTGGCCCCACTAGTTGGGCATCTGCTGATGGCCTTCTTGCTGTTGAGTCCCAAGGCGGCAGAGAGCTGTCTCACAAAGCCACCTGGACGTAATCATGTGGCTCCATCCCAGTGACCCAACGTAACTTAATCACCTCCTGAAGGCCCTCCCCCCCGCTCCTGCCAAATGCCATAACTGGATTCCAGTTATGTAGCAGTAACGTAAGACTTTAGGGATCAGATCTTCAACCCAGGGCCTTTAAGTGGCATTTAACATCCAAACTAATCCAAAGCGTGGTATGGTGCGATAAGCATGTCTCCAGGAGCTTTCTAAAAGGAACAGTTTCAGTCACCACCCAAGGAAGTCAAGGAAGAAGTGAGAAGGCACCTTTGCAGGGGAGGGGTGCTCGGAGTGTGATTACCTTGTCCCCCCACCTGCCACAGCCAGTCAGACAGACAATCCTACCCAGCTCCAGCCATGACGACCTGGACAAATGCTGAAGGAGTCCACAGCCCACAGGCAGGGATGTGGCTGGTTTTTGGGGTATCTTGTTAGAAGAAAAGGCCACGGATTCTTTTAACACATTTCCCATCAAAAAGTGGAGTCTGTGCCCCTCGTCTGAATCTGGATGAGTAATGTCGTCCCTCGCCGACTGAGCACGGTGGCAGTGGCTCCCATGGCCACATGGGGAAGGGCCACGCAGTGTTCTAGGCGCACAAGTTCTGGGAGTCACCAGCTACCATGTGAGAAGTCCAGCCACTCTGAGCCTGCTTGGCATAAGAGGCTGTGTGTTTGTGTGTGCTGAGCTATGACTGGAAGGCCAGTGTTGACGGGCAGCCACATGAACACACCAGGTCAAACATCTAGCCTGGGGACAGGCATGGCGCAGCAGTTAAGCTGCCACTGTGACACCCTCATCCCGTACCAGAGCACCTGGTTTGAGTCCCAACTCTATTTCCAACCCCAGCTTTCTGTTCATTCAAACCCTGGAAGGCAGACGGTGATGGCTTAAGTAGTTGGGTCCTTGCCATGTGGAAGACCCAAAACGAGTTTTGCCACCCATTTGAGAGATCTGGATGGAGTTCCAGGCTCTTGGATTCAGCCTGGTTCAGCTCTGGTTATTGTGGGCTTTTAGAGAGTGAACCAGGAGTGGGAGATCTCTCTCTCTCTCTGCTTTTCAAATAAATAAAAATTAATTTAAAATAATGGTTTACATAGCTGAGCTCCAGCTGTTTGCAGCTCCTGTTCACACCCAGCCTCAAGCATGAAGATGCTGGGGTCGCACACTGAAGCACTGGTTCGAATCCTGGCTGCTCTACTTCTGATCCTCCTCCCGGGGAATACTCCTGGGAAAGTAACGGAAGATGGCCCAAGTGCTTTGGTCCCTGCCTCCCATGTAGGAGACCTGGATGGTATTCCAGGCTCTTGGCTTTGGCTCAGCCCCAGCTGTAGGGAACATTTGGAGAGTGAACCACTGGAGGAAAGGTCCCTGCCTCTCCCTCTCCGTCACCCAGCCTGCAAATAAATAAAAATAAGCCTTAAAAAAAAAAAAGGAACTGTCCAACAGTGCTCTTTCTAACTTCCTGACCCATAAAATCATGAATGAAAGAAAACATGGGGCCAGCACTCTGGCATAGCAGGTAAAGCCACTCTCTGCTATGGCCTGGGAAAGCAGTAGAAGATGGCCCAAGTCCTTGGGCCCCTCACCCACGTGGGAGACCTGGAAGAAGCTCCTGGCTCCTGGCTTCAGATAGGCACAACTCTGGCCATTGCGGCCATCTGGGGAGTGAACTACAGGACGGAAGACCTCTCTCTCTCTCTCTCTCTCTCTTTCCTCTCTCCTCTCTCTGTGTAACTCTGACTTTCAAATAAATAAATAAATCTTTAAAAAGAAAGAAAGAAAATGTCTGTTAGATTTATGCCACTACCAGGCATTTGGAGACTATTTTTTTTTCATAGCAAGATTAGTCAGAATATGGACCTTAGCAATGGTCTGTCCCAGCACTTTTATGTGAGAGGACTTGCAAAAGTCCCTGGAACTGGAAAGAAAAGACAAGCCAATTTTGGTGCAAAAATTTTTTGAAATGGATGAATAGTTTTTCCATAATACATGTTTTCCACGAATCTCCTGAAGATCGCTTGCAAAACAATAGGAGAACCTGAGGCCCAGAGCGGGGAAGAGAGCTACCCAGAACCCCAACAACCAAGCAGTGGGGAGCTGGGGCCAAAACCCGGCTTCCTGACTCCCAGCCCAGGGCACTTCTGCCACTCCACAGAGGACTCACAGAAGGGGCTCCACCCCCTCCCTGGGCCACGTTAACTCCACGCATCCAGCATGAGTCCAGTATCTGGGTGGGGGCCCAGGATGGCGCTAGGCAGCAAGAATGTGCAAAGAAGGGTCAGGTTAGGCAGGGGAGCGTTGTAGTCAGACCTGGAGTGCCCCCCGCAGGCACGGTCAGGGCAGGCGGGCGCACTGCTGCTGTTTTGGCCACCGGTATCCCCGGGGGTGGGGCGGGGAAACACCCAGGAGATGGGGAGAAGACCGTCTGTCCCCCAGTCACAAACAACCCATTAGGAAGAGCTCCACCGCAGGCCCAGCACCAGATTCAGGGCAGAAAGACTCGGTGGGTGTGGCCCTCGGGCCCTCTTCCTCCAGGCTGGCAGGAGTCTCGCTCCTTCCGCCCTGCCCAGGGCTGATGCAAGCCAGGCAGGACCCCAGGCTCTGTGAGTAGCAGAGAGGAGCTGGAGCTTGGCCACTTCCCCCTTCCCCAGGACGCTGCTGGAGGGCACCAGGGCCAACTGCACAGGAGTGAGCCACTTTTTCTGGAAGTTAGCCCAGGTGGGAGGAGTCTGCACTTGTCTAGACAGAGACATGTTGGTGCCGAGGGGTCTGGCCAGCCGGGTGCCCAGCTGACCCATGTTTGGGGGCTGTGGGACCCAGCAGTCTTGAGCAAGGTGGCCTCTGGGGGTCCCCTGAGCTGGCTGTGGTTCTGTGGTTCCCAGGCACTCTGTTCTACATGTGGAGGCCGTGTGGGCTCCCATATCATCATCTGTCTTTGGCCCGATCCCAGCCCCAGCTCAGTCTCCCACAGTTCGCTGCAAGTGTGCGGGCCTGAAACTCCTCGGGGAGAATGTGCCTGTGAGCTGGCACTCAGGTCCCGTCCAGCACTATGACTCCAAGTCTCTGCTTTATGAAGCCCTGAGTTCCAGCAGGGCCAGAGCTTGGGTTCTGTACCCTTCTAGTATCTTCTGTGTCAGAGCAGACCCATCAAAGATCATCTCTGGGGGCTGGTGCTGTGGCTTAGCAGGTAAAGCCACCGCCTGCAGTGCCGGCATCCCATATGGGCTATGGTTGAGTCTGTGCTGCTCCACGTCTGATCCAGCTCTCTGCTGTGGCCTGAGAAAGCAGTGGAAGATGGCCCAAGTCCTTGGGCCCCTGCACCTACACGGGAGACCTGGAGGAGGCTCCTGGCTCATGGCTTCTGATCAGCACAGCCCTGGCTATTGCGCCCGCCTGGGGTATGAACCAGTGGATGGAAGACTTCTCTCTCTGCCTCTGCCTCTCTGTAATTCTGCCTTTCAAATAAGTCAATCAAATTTTTTTAAAGACCATCTCTGGTGTTGCCCAGGGCTCCCAATACAATTTCTCTGGGATTGTCACAGCAACCCAGGCCTGCCTTCAGCCTGTGGCAGCACGGCTCTCCCTGATCTCCCCAAGGCCTCGACTGCTTTGGGCTGCTTGGCTTTCCCCAAGGGCCCTCCCAGGAAGGCTCCCACATTGGATTGGAGCCTGCAAGTCTCGCAGGCTGCTTGGGGGTGGCAGTGAGAGGCAGGATAAAATGAGCTGATAAGCAAACTGGAGCCTCCAGCCCTCTTTGCTGTCCCTTCTCTTCCCCCTCCATGAGAGAAAAGGCCCCATCACCCTCCACCCCTGTGATGTCTGATAAAGCAACTCAATTAACTGGGGCTGGGAGGGAGCAGGGCATGATGGGAAAGGATGCTGGCTCCTTGGCCCAGGGACCTGCAGGAGGTGGGGGGGAGGGGGTTTGGTCCCTGGCAAGAGCTGGAAGGCCAAAAGTGGGGACAAGAGGACCAAAGGATAGCACTTTGCCTTGGAAGCCATGGAGCCTGTTCCTAAGCTCAAGGCCCTCCAAAGCAGGTGTGTCCCAAAGAAGGAAGGGGGAGGACAGACCCTGTCCCCTCAAAGAGCTGAGCCCACATAAATCCCCCAGAGGGGAAAATGAAGGGTAAGTGGCTTCACTTTCAGGCCGCCAGTGTCACAGTGGCAGGATCGGCCTCAGCACTCAGAGGGTGGGGTCCCTATCTGAGGGTCTCCAGAAAGGCTCAGGTGCTTGGCATTGTTGCTCCCTGTCCCCCACCCCAGCATCTCTCTGGAATCAAACATTTCCCTGTCTCCCACTCCCCTGGCCATATCCCTGGGGGGAAGAGGGGAAGCCCATCGTAGCTGATACCTTGGTGTGAACTGGTTCCCAGACAGGTGTTTGTCGCTACAGCCAGAAGGCACCAGGGCACCCAGGAGAGGAAGGTGGAGACAAGGTGAAAAGGGTTCGAAGAAGCAGCTCAGGAACTGTGGCTGCCTGTGGCCTTGGCTGAGCTCGTGAAGTTACCGAGGTCTTGAAGGAATGGAGGAGGAGAGAGGAGGCAGAACTCCTCTCAGCCTGGGAGCCCTGGGCTGGGGGAGGTATCCCTGGCCCCAGAACCAGCAGCAAACCCAGAGTCAGGACCCAGACCAGCCCCTTTCTCCTCCCCATCACAGCCCAGAGCCAGGCCCTCCGCACACCACCAGGGGGCAGCACCCTCCCACCCACAGCAGGCAGGAGGCCCTCCTTCCTGGGCTGGTTGTTTTAGGGGGATAGCATGACCTCACAGACACAGAACTGATGCAGACAAGCCCATGATGCCCACCACAGCACACCGACGCCCTGAGCCAGCCTCAGAAGGCCCAGGTGACTCGTTAGCCCCGAGCGCTTCGGCAAGCAGGGAGGCTTCTCCCCTCTCCTCTTGGTGCACCATTACCCCACTGCCCCTCCCAGCCTGGGTCCTCCGACTTCCCTCCCTCCCTCCCTTCCCTCTTTTCCCTCCTGGCCTCCTTTCCTCCTCCCCGACAGCTTCTCCATCCACCCATTCCCCAGGTGCTCATCGCCGTCCACAAGTACAGCACACTAGCAGCCGGGCGGACGGATGCGGGGGGAGGGTCTGTCTTGTTGCTGATGTATTTCCGGTGCCTGTGTAGTAGGTATTCAATAAATATGCATTGAGTGAACAAATGAGTCAGGTGTGGGATTCCCCCTCCATTTTTCCCCTCTCTCAGGATGACAGGCCAGCCAGTCTGAATGGAGAGCAGGGGAGAGACCCCCAGGGGGGTCGCTGGGACTTGTCCAGAGGAGACTTTAAGGCTATCATAACAGTGCATGCTTCAGTACCCTTGGCGGGGTTCTGTCAGCCACTGTCCAGCTTCCAGCCAGTCCTGGGTATCTTCTTCCCAGCGGAATTTGGGATCTTTCTTTGTACTGCAGCAAACTCCAAGCCTGTGACTCTGAAAAGCAGACATCAGCTCCAGGAAGTGGGGAGGACTGGACACAAGGGGTCCCAGCAACACATGTGTTTCTGACCACAGTCCAAAATGATACCCCTACCCTTCCTGCTTGTTAGTACAGCTCATCAAAGATCATCATTATTTTGGCTTTCTGACCTCATTAACGATGAGATTGGTGCTTATAAAAGTTCTGTGCATTTGCAACAGGCTTTAGACCTTTCCCGAGAGTACACTAGCCCCCATCTTGGATACCGAGGTACTGTCTAATTTGGAAATCAGGACATGCCCTGGTGTCCAGGGCAGGTGTGTCAGTTATATTGCATTTCCGCCTTCAAATCTTCCTTACCTCATCCAGATAGACATGGAAGCAGCCTGGAGCTGTTAACAATTTTTAAAGATGCTGAAGACATTCTGGACTTTAAAAAAATGAATCTGGAAATTGCTCTTGGGCCAGGGCCAGTGCAGTCAGGCCGGTGCCTAATGTCTTGGGCATGGCAGCTTCTCAATCACTTAGCAAACAGGTTTCTTGGAGGCAGGCACTGTGGGAGCTATGAAATGAAAAAGCAGCCTGAGGCCTGGAGGAACTCGGGGTCAGCGAGGGAAAGAGGAGACAAACAGGCAAAGTCAAGTCGTAATGAGTGGAGCAGTGCTGGATCTGGGAGGGGGGTCCCAGGGCAATGCTGGATCCGGGAGGGGGCCCTAGGGCAATACTAGTTGCGGGAGGGGGCTGCAGGGCAGGAAAGGGCACTTCGCACGCTGTCCCCAGGACTACTATGAACCAGGGACGGCTGCAGCCTAAGGGTCTTCTCCAGGGCCACCTGCCCCACACCCTGTAACATCTTTCACCATGGACAGCGCCACAGCTGCGGTGTCTTCCACCTAGCCCAGGAGCTGCTTCACTGCCCAAGGCTACCGTCTCCCATTCCACCGCGGGGATTTTGGTGGCTCTGAGCCTCGAAGGGTTCAACCGGAACTCCAACGTGCTGGATGGAGGCACAGTGGTCAGGAGGCCCCACCAGGATCTGTCTCCTCGAGGCACCAACTCTCCACGCTCCCGGCTCCCCGGCCTCCAGTCATCCGCAATGAAACGGCAACAATGCAACCAGCCTGGCGGGGAGGGCGCAGCACAAAGAAGCGGGTGCAGGTTAGAGGTTAGAGGTCGAGAACGCCTCGGTGTCGCCCGGGCTGCAGTGGGAGGAGCTGCGGGCTAGGGGAGGCGGGGAGCGGGGCCGAGCCGGGCGGGAGGGGATGGGTTCGGAGGCGCGCAGGGGGCGGCGCTCCCGGCCGGGCACTGGCGGCGAGCAGGTTACGCGCCTCGGCGGGGTTCGGCTCAGCGGAGGAAGGCTGAGCTCGGCCACCCGGGCCCTGCAGCAAGCCAGGTCGGCTCCGCGCTGCACCCGTGCCACCCCTCCCGGCGGAGGGCGCTCCCAGGCGAGGCGGGGCTGGGAGGAAAAGGCGCCACTGGAGCGTGGCATCCGCTGCCATCGCCGGAGGGAGACGGAGAGCCCCTTGATCCCCAGCCCGGCGGCGCCGAGGCGCCCCCTCCGAAGACCACCTCACGCCCGCCCCCTGCTGCGAGCCAAGGCCGGCGCCCCGCCCGGAGATGGGCCGACGCGTAGATGGCGTGGCTCCCAGCGCAGCCAGATCGCAGGAGCCGGGCGCCGGGGCGCTGCGCTGAGCCTCCCGTTTTGCGTGGCCCGGGAAGCCCGCAGGTGTCCTTGGCCGCCCGGCCGCCGCCCGAGGAACTCCCTCGCCGGTGCCCAGAGCCCTGCTCCCGGGAGCGGCCCCGCCTCCCAGGCTCGGCGCCGCGCAGGACGCCCCGTCTGAGGGCTACACGGGCTACCGGCAAGTCCTGTTTGGGCACACATGCCGGCCTGAGCTCCAGATGCAGTAGAGGAGATTTCTCCTTTTCTGTTTTCCCCCCTTTCCTAGAGTGTTTGGCTGGCTTTGCTATTGGATACGTGTCTCTGGCATGAAATCAAATGACTCTGGATGCTGGTTCTCCACTGGTGCAATGGAGAACACATTCTTTGATCTGAGGCTATGTGGGCGTCGCTTGGTATTGCTTGTTTAGTGTTTATAAGGGCGCCTCCAAGACCGGACCAGGCTCCCAGAGTGAGACGAGGTGAATAGAACAGTATATTGATCGGTAGATAATATGTGTATATGGGTTGTTAGATTCATTTTTCTTCCCCCACATATCATAGTAGACAACTGCCGACTAGGTAGAAAAAAGTATAGATACCTGAGTGGAGCCAAGAGACGGAAGCGTTGCGAGCGGCTATACCTGACTCTCGGACGGCTGTTAGGCATTGGTCCTGCCTAGTCTTAGCTGCTCACGTTGAATTGCTGATCGTCGGCACGACCGGCGTTTGGCTGGCATGCGAAGGCAAAGTGAATGAGGGCCGACTGCCTACTAGACATGCTCTACGATGCCATGTTATGGGGG